TGCAACTAGCTGAGAGTCTGTTTTTAAGCAGACATGATCGGCTTCCAAGGAGATGCACAATTCTAGGCCAGCGATTGCTGCCTCATATTCGGCTTCGTTGTTCGAGGCCTTAAAAGAAAATTTTAGTGCATACTCGAAAGATTTGCCTTCGGGAGAAGTTATCACTACTCCTGCCCCCGAACCGTTTTCGGTGGAAGATCCATCCGTAAACACGGTCCAGACTTTCTTTTCATTGTCTAGCGTTTCTTGGTATGAGCATTCGGCCAAGAAATCCGCTAGAGCTTGAGCCTTAATGGCAGTCCTCGGACGGTAACTGATGCTGAATTCGGTGAGCTCAAAAGCCCACTTGGCTAGCCTACCAGATTTTTCAACCTTGCCGAGAACTTTTTCCAACGGCTGATCAGTTAAGACCACTATCTGATGGCAATCAAAATAGGGCCTTAGCTTCCGAGCAGCTACTACTACCGCGAAAGCAACTTTCTCGAGTAGAGGATAGCGAGTCTCGGCATCCGTCAGTGTATGACTGACGAAGTAGATCGGTTGCTGACTCTTACTCTCTTCCTTCAGCAATACTGCGCTGATGGTGGCTGGGCTAACGGCCACATATAGGTACAAAGTTTCTCCTTCAGCTGGGCTAGCCAGCGTTGGGAGTTGAGCCAGATGCTCCCGAAGCTGTTTAAAGGCGTCTTTTTGCTCTTCCTCCCAAACGAGCTCTTTCGTTTTCGGGAGTTTCAGGGCTTTGAAGAAAGGTAACCCCTTATCCGAAGCTCTGGAAATGAACCTCGAGAGGGCCGCCATTCTTCCGGTGAGCCGTTGAACATCCCGCTTCGTTTTCGGCTCAGGAAGGTCGAGCGCCGCTTTGACTTTAGAGGGATTGGCATCAATCCCCCTCTTGCTGACCATGAACCCCAGGAATTTCCCTGACTTCACGCCGAAGACACACTTCTTCGGATTCAGCTTCATTTGATGCTTTCTCAAGGTGGCGAAAGTTTTAGCCAGGTCCTTTACATGGTCCTCTAGTTTTTTGCTTTTGACGATCGAGTCGTCGACATAGACTTCCATGTTTCGGCCCTTTTGATCGGCGAAAACCTGATCCACCAGCCTTTGATAGGTTGCCCCCGCATTTTTCAATCCGAAGGGCATCATTTTGTAATTGTACACCCCAGCGTTCGTGACGAATGCTGTCTTGGCTCGATCGTCGGGGTGCATAAAGATCTGATGATACCCCGAGAATGCGTCCATGAAGCTAAGCAAGGCATGGCCACTTGTCGAATCGACTAGCTGATCGATTCTCGGCAAGGGATAGAAATCCTTTGGACAAGCCTTATTTAGGTCCGTGAAGTCGACGCACATCCTCCAGGTACCATTGGGCTTCTGAACCATCACCACATTTGCCAGCCATTCTGGATATTGGCAAGGTTCAATGAATCCTGCCTCCAGTAATTTTTTGACCTCGGCTGCGATGTCTCGGTTCTTATTGGCGGAGTAATTCCGCTTCTTTTGCTTAACTGGTCGACACGTCGGGTCAACATTAAGCTTATGGGAGATGAGGTCTGAACTTATCCCGGGCATATCAGCTGCCGAGAAAGCAAACACATCTCTGTTATCCCGAAGGAGCTGAATAAGTTCGCAACGGGTGTTCGGATCAAGGTCCATCCCGATTGTTACACTTTTCTCAGCGTCTCCTTCGACCAACTCAACTGTTTCAGTCTGTTGGTCCATGTCCATTGCTGATGGATTGGACTCTTCATAATCTGGCCTGCTGCCAATGTCAGCAGGTGTCCCAGTCTTTTTGTTCTTCGGCTGGCTCTCCGAGTCTTGCGGCTCAGCTGAGGAGCTAGCCTTTTCCCTTTCGGGCCCTTTATCTCTGGGTACAGATCCTTGGGCCGAAGCACTTAGGCCTCTCGGCTTTTTTGTGCTTGGCTCTCTTTCTTTTTCTTTCTCCTCCTCATCCTTGTCGTCGTCTGGTCGACTACTGGATGGCTTGAGGTAGTTGCACCTTCGGGCGTCCTTTTGGTTGCCCTGTATCCTTTCGGGGAAGCCCGCGTCTGAGACGTAAATCATCAGCTGATGATAAGTTGAGACGACCCCTTGGATCTCATGAATTATGGGTCTCCCCAAAATCACGTTGTACACTGAAGGAGCGTCAATGACCAAAAATTCAGTCATGACATTCCTGGCTGCTTCATCGCAGCCGATGGTGATAGGAAGTGTCACCTTCCCATCTGGATAAGTTGAAGCCCCGTTGAACCCGGATACCGGGTAGGGTACCGGCGTAAGGTGCTTGGGCTTCAGCTTGATTTGATTGTAGGCCTTTCGGAACAGAATGTTTGCTCCGCTGCCACCGTCAACAAGAACCTTACTGACGTCATGGTTGGCCACCGTGGCGATGATCACCAACGGATCCTCGTGAGGGAACGTTACCCCCCGGCAGTCGGCGGCTGTGAACGTCATGTTCGGCACCGGCGACTGGGGAGACTGAATGTCAGCGTTATTCACCTGATGGGTTAAAGCCCTAAGGTGTCGCTTGTGCTCCCTCCGAGAGCATGTTCCTCCCGAGATAACATTAATCGGAGAGAATTTTCCCTCTGGCTTTTTACTGTTCTTCCGGGGGAAATCGAGGTCTTGCCGAGAGTCCTTCGCTGACTTCTCGGACTCTTTTTTCTCGCGGTAATCCGCGATGTATTTTTTCAAGTATCCCTTCCGGACCATGTCCTCTATCTGGTCCTTCAGTTGGATACACTCCTCAGTGTTATGTCCCGGAGATTCGTGGAACTCGCACCACTGATTTTTATTTTTTCGCTGATACCACTCTGGGAGTGGTCTCGGCTTTCGGTAACTCTGCTCCTCCTTCGTCACGCTGTAAATTTTGGCGCGTGGAAGAGAGAGCGGAGTGTAGGACTCGTATCTGCCTGTGTACAAGGCAGATTTTTCCTTCTTTGGGTCGCTGGCCGAGGATTGCTCCGAGGCCTTTGACTTTCCCTTTGCCTTATAGCCTTGGCCTTCAGACGAGGGTATTTGTTTTTGTTTCCCTCCCCCGAATTGAGGTTGGGTTTTCGCCTTATTCCACTCTTCGGCTCGGATGAACTTATCCGAGGCATTCAGAGCTTCCTCCAAGGTCTGCGGGGTATGCATGACCATGAAGTCTAGGAACTTCCCGGGCTGAAGGCCATTTTGCATTGCAAAAACGGCTAGCCCCTGGTCCAGCTGAGAGACACTGGATGACTCGTTGCTGAAACGGGTCAGATAGTCTCGGAGGCTTTCGGTTTCCCCCTGTTGCAGACTCATGAGTTCCGCAGTAGTCTTCTCTCGGCGGTTTGCCGTGGAAAACTTGCTCCTAAATTTGGAGGACAGATCATCCCACCCTGTTATGGAGCCTTGCTTTACTCCCTTGGAGATCCACGCTTGCGCGACCCCCTTGAGAGTAGTTGGGAAATATTTGCACCAAGTCGCTTCGGATCTGGGGCAAAGATGCATATGAGCCTCATACGAGGCAATGTGGTCCTTCGGATCCGAAGTTCCATCATATGTGATGTGCGACGGTATTTTAACCGTGGGCACGTGCTCTTCCAGTATCCACTGCTCGAATGGCGAACTGGCAGGTAGCATAACGGCCTTGCCCTTGTTCCTGGCCGAAGGGACCGCGCTCCGCCCTCTTAGAGAGGTAGGAGTGGTTTTCGTCCCTGGCTGGGAAGTCTGGGCCTCGGCTGCAGGGAACGAGAGGCGACTGTGCACGCTCGGTTCCTTGCCGCCGAGTCGGTCGAGGACGCTTCGGCGAACAGTCTCAGGTTGTTCTCGGTGAGCAGATTCTGGCCGAGAAGCTGAACTGCTGCTCTTATGCGTTTCTGGTCGGGAGGTTGAGGATCCTTTGAAGAATTGAGGGTTCTTTTTCCTCTCTCTTTCAGTTTTCCAGGTATCCTCTTCCCACTCTTCCAGTTCCCGGAAGGAAGGAAGTTTCCCGCCATCATGGTCTAGCCTCCTCCGCTGATGCCGGGTATGCGGAGGAGTTCGATCACGAGGTGGTGGCATACTTTGTGCCCTCATTGCCTCCATGAGCACTGCCAACGCTCTTGCCACCTCCTCCGAGCTGGGCCCCGTCAAAGGGGTCCTCGGCTGAGTATGGGAATGAGAGCGGACGGTCGATGGTTGGCTTTGGGGCACTGAATGCGTCCTATGATCGGATTGACCCCTGCTAGACCGAGAGTGACTCGGCCTATGATGAGAATTATGAATTACGGGAGAAAGGGAATCCTCCCTGTATGATCCTCGCTCCGAGCTGGCACCCTTGGGAGAGTTCCGGTCCGGCGAGGGTGATGGTGTAGGGGTTTTAGGCTTTTCGCCTGCTCCTTGACGGAGGCCTTTGCTCTTGCGGTTCTTAGCCATTGCTACTAAGATAATTGCAAGATGATCTTGGTTAGAAATTTGGCTTAAAGATTTTTTCGAAAGTCTTCCCCACAGACGGCGCCAAATTGTTTCGGGTGAAAACAATGGGACCTTGTCGAAGGTCCAATGAAATGGAGAAGACTGGATTCGGTCCAAGTGATGTTGGGCCGAAGGTTTCCTGCACAGTAAACACACGTAAACTAGCCTCGGGGGTGTTGCCGAGGAAGGCCCCTCCGATGCTAAAGTCAGTACAATGTGTAAGAAGTAGACACTATGCAAGAGAGTTTGTTGCTTGAGGCTTTGTTGTAATGTATCTAAAAAAATGAAATATTGATGGCTTTTATACCTCTTCATATATGGAGAAGTTGGGCCTTAGCCCAATTGGCTTGCTTTGTGGGCTGACCTTTGACTTTAGCACAATTGGAGAGTTGAACCTTGACCTTGGGCTTTTAATTGGATCATTTAGTGCTTAGGCCCAATTGGACTAAATTGGACCCAAACAATATCTATGAACATTAATGTCTGCTACCTCATATGTAAAAACAATTTATTCCTTTTTTAGAAGTTAGTTTATATAGTACTATCAGTTATAGTAACTTGTCCCAATGTTATGCCAGTGTAACTGCTTACCTGATCAAGGATGATGCTTTAAAAACCGGCGAACTTGATTACATTAATGGAGGTACACATGTTAAGGAAACTTCCGTATCTTCCTAGTGTTTGAAGCTTTAAATCCTCAGGCATACTTTTTAAGGAAACTAAGACATTTTCAATATACTTTTTTGTGTCCAGCCGCCCTGGTACGCTATCAAATAGCAGGAAATTTCCTTGGCCTTCCTGCAGTTACTGTACCGGTGAGTATAATATATTTTCTTCCTTTTGCATTCACTGCTTGAAGTGAAATTATGGTCAATCCTTTCACTCTTAGCTGACAATTTTCAATTACTGTTCTAGATTGGATATGATTCAGAAGGATTGCCTATTGGCCTGCAATTTATCGGAAAACCATGGGCTGAAGCAACATTGATTCACATAGCATCTGCAGTCCAGGTAAACCTTCCTGTTTCTAGAAGCTTCTTTAAGAAAATGTTATGCTTTCTCGAAATGCTAGTGTCAATCAAATAAATGTTCCCCCTTGTCATGAATTAGTAGTCACACTGTCGTCTCTACTCTTTCATAAGAAAGTTATGACCATTATTTTACTTAAACACCTTTATAATCCTTCCCATTTTCTCTCGACCTCTCCTTTTAGATGGGGGTATGCTTGGAATTTATAGTTTTGGAGGTAGGACTAATAGCAACCAAAATAACTAAACGGCTTAAATGAAAATGTCGTGGCGTGACAATAGATCACTGCCCTAAAGTCAAATTTGCCCCGCACAGTACACGCGGACTCATAGCAACCGACCTCCACGGATACACGACTCTAACTCTCCGGTGTACTACGAAGAGCTAGATTGAGAACACTTTAATCAATGCCCAAAACAAGATACGAGTACTATATTTTTGTGTAACATTTTGGAGTCAAGAAGAGAAGTATATCTTTTTGCGTGTACTTATGAAGTAGAGGAGACTTCAATTTATAGTGGAGTAGTAACCCAAAGAAGGAAGCCATTCACGACAATCATGCATGCCCAAGTCAAGGAGTATCAATTAAATCCCTTTAATTGAGTAATCACAATCAATCAAGCATTATGTACTTAGCCTCAATTATGCACGGTTAGGCTAAAAAAATGGGTAATAGAAAGAAATAATTATGGCCAAAATGTCAACTAATTGATATTTGCAAATTTGGTTATTGATCTTTTGAAGCAAAAATGTAACCAGACTTGGATTTTTATTATGGGAAGAACTCCAACAATAATTCCAACATATAGTACGTATTTCAATTTAGGAATGTGACAGTGTTTTCTGACATCAAACAACATACATCTTATTATTTCCAGATTTACTGCTTATTGCATAGCAAAAGTGAAACTGTCACACTGATGTCCTAATACGGTGCCATTAGGGGTGTAATGTTGTCTTTTATACCAGATGAAAAAGAATGTTAAGTGGTGACAATGATGCCTTAATATTGAGAAACTTGCTGTTGTACTTGTTTTGATGATGAAGAATTGTATTAGCTTCCTGCTGTTTCTGATGTTTACTAACTATTCTTGTTTCATCAGGCTTTGTGCATTTTAGACTACAGGAAGCCAGCAGTTTTCTATGATCTATTCAAATCAATATGATCGGAACTGAACTTCATTATGGAGAGCAATGTAAATTAGATTTGGTATGTAGTAAAGGGGTGTCTGACTGTCTGATCTTCAGATATACTGCAGCACGTCAGAGATGAAAAGGGCAATCTGTGCTGCGAGGCTATATTTAATTACTGTTAAAATTTGATTGAGCTTATTTGTCAAGTGATTATAATTGAAACTATAATATCTTCAATTTAATACAATCTGTTTGGCTTTACTTGCATTACTTATTTATTTATGTATGCTTTGAACAATCACCAGATCTACTGTTCCCAACATAATGAAAGTTGGAGGTTATGATTTTATTTTGTAACACTCGACAGTTGATAGGAATTACGACTACAATGATTTACAGTTTTTTTGTTTTTTTTTTGGAAACCATGATTTCCAGTTTATAAATATATGAATATATGGTTGAACTTGAAACTAAAGCATTACTCCGTATAATATTCGTCTTATTTCCAATTACAAATATAAAATGCAGAATTTGAAATTTTTTATTTTTTTTGGATGCAAATGAGGGTCAGAGCCTATTTATTAAAACAAAAACGAAAAAAATCAAGCTACAAACGTGGCCAAGCCACCCCAATAACATCCTCCCCTAGAAGAATTTGAAACATTGTTATGTTCACATGCATCTGCCTTTTTGTCCCCAGAAGCCACAAGTATATTAGATTTACACAGTCTATATTGTGCTATTGTGCTATTGACACATCATTCATCTCAGTAAATTATACGTAGTACGGAGTAACTCATAATTTAAGGGGTAATCCTAATCGGCTACTCCGCTTTCCTAAATTTTTGTAAGCCTATTCTAAATACTTCCCATAACAATCTAAAAGCAGAATTTTCAATAGTGGATGATGGTTTTTAAAATCCTTAAAATGACTACTATTATACTTATTTTTTATTGGCTGATTTTAATTTATTTTTTAATGTCAAAATTAATTATAAATCATTTATTAATTTTGAAATAATTTCAATTTTTTTTATAATTTTCCTACTTCCTCCGTTTTTTATTATCTGCAACAATTACCAAAGATAGGTGTTTCATATTATTTGCAACAAGTTTTTTTTTCCTTTTTTAGTAAGTTTAGTAAGTGTAAAATTACCATATTACCCTTAAAAAAAACTGATTATATTCTAACCTACAATCTAACTATGATTAATAACCCCAAAACCCCAATTTCATTCTCACTTATTTCTCACCATCTCCTTCAACCATCACCTTCAATGGCAAACACCACCACCAGTCCACCACCACCACCACCACCAGTCCACCACTACTACCACCGTACCGATCTCCACTCTATCTACATCTACCCATAAATTCCCCCTCTCTTTGTTCATCTCCCCTCAAATTCAACCACCACCTTCGCCGGAAGTCGCCCTATAAGTGTCATGCTTGTCGTCGTCGCCGTCTCCGCTTTCTCTCTCTTCCTTCTCCTTTTTTTTCATTCTTGTCACTAAAGCTCAAATTTGAAGGTTTTATGGTCAAATTTAACCATGAAAATTTTAGATCTAGAATTTTAATGGTTAAATTTGACCAAATAAAGCTTTAATTGATGATAGAGAAGGTAATGGTTTCGTGGGGTTTGGTTTCGTGGGGTGGCGTGGGTCTGGTTCGTGGTGGTGGCTGTGTGGGTTTGGTGTCGTGGGGTAGCGTGGGTCTGGTTTTGTGGTGGTGGCTGGATGGCGCGGGTTGTTTTGTAGGGGCGGCGTGGGTTGGGTTTGTGGGGCGGCGTGGGTCTGGGTTCGTGGTGGTGGTGGTGACTGGGTTCGTGGTGGTGGTGGTGGTGGCTGGGTTTTAGTGGTTTGATAAATTTTTGTTTTTTTTTTTAATTGGATTAGTAGTTAAGTACATGCCCTTGTATTTCAATAATCATGCTTAGGAACTTTTACCTCGGCCTCCGCAACCGGTACGGTTGTTGCAGATAATAAAAAACGGAGGTAGTAATTAATTTACAAATTTCAGTTTTTAATACTACTAAAATAAAAGAATAATTCATAATTTAATTATAAAAATATTAAAAAAAAAATAAAACAAAATTTTAAACTAAAAATAAACATTTATTATTAATTTTAAGTTTTTGACATAAAATATATAAAATAAAAAAAAAATTAAAAAAAATCAACCAATAAAAAATTAGTTCACTGGTAGTCATTTTAAGTATGACTATTGTCACATTATATTTCTTTTACCATGGTTAAAGGTGGAAGGACGGAAGGAGCATTGGTCCAAAACCATGATAATGTATTTTGGAGTACATAGTTACATACGAGTAACATACTTTCCCTTACATGACATAGCTACATACGAGTAACATACTTTCCCTAATTCCCTTACATAACATAGTTACATAACCTAGCTGTTAGAATTTAAGCTGCCAAGCTTCAAGTTCAAGTGGATAGTCAAGCCTTAGTACAAACTCTTAACAGCTCTGACACTTATATTGGGGAGAGTGCGCACATCCTCACAAGATGCAAGCATTTGCTTAATTGACAAGTAGAAATTCATCATGTTTATAGAGAGGCGAACAAGACTACAGATTGGTTGGTCAATCAAGGTGTTTTACAGAACAACTCCATTGAGTTGATTCAATCTTTACCTCTAGAGCGTATTTTAAATGATGATGTTGTAGGAGTAGCTTTGTCACGTTTTATTCCTCTGCAGTTTTTTGTTTAGTTTTTATTTTCATGAGGATTGCCCCTCTTATGCACCCAAAAACCAATTAAAAAAAAAATAGTTACATACTTACATGTCCAAAGATAAAAATTAAATAAAAGATAAAAATTAAATAAATTAGTAAAAACTTTATTCTTGTAATTTCCACAACTCCTCTTCTTTCGATTTCATAATCTTTGTCAAGAAAGTGAGAAACGTCGAGAAAAGACTGCTTATAATCAATCTTTCTTCCATTTTACTCACTCTCTCACAAGATCTCTTAGCAATCTCACAATGGTGCGTCTTCTTTTTAACTTTTTATTTGAATTAATCTTTGTTTAATTTCTTTTCTCTTTCATTTTCTTTCTTCAATTTCCCTTTTGTTGATTATCATACCCTGGGTAATTAGCCTCTATGTGATTAGTAAGCATTCTATGCGAAAATTCAAACCAACATGTTTAATCTTAATTTGATAGTATAATTTAATTTCCCACAAATATATAAAATAAAAATCGAGACTTTAGGGTCTTGAATTTAGTTTTTTGTTTGAGTATAATTAGGGATATGGGATAAAAACCCAGATAATTGAAGCATGATTAGCCACCAAATTGGAAGATAATTGAGCTTTTTTTATGTTAAATATACTGGGATTTTGAATTGGGGCTTGATATGATGATGGTTTGAGGAAATTTAGAATCTTTTTTATTGAATAGGGATTTGATCTCAGGATAAATCAATTGCAGGTTAGTATGAATGGTGTACAATGGAGTTTGTATAACTTTTATGGAAATTAGGACTTAATGTGTGCTATGAACTTATGTGTTAATAATAAAGGCTTGTTAGTGCCAATATGAACATTGAATTACCCCAAATTGTTTCCAAAGAGACCACCAAGGCACCATTACCATAATGGAGGGCCGGGCTTAAGACGATGGTGTCAATCTTAATTTGCAACTATTTGCATTAAACCCTTATACAGAAAAACAACAATGAACTTGATAAGTCACCGTGATTTGTTCCATTTTTTTCCAAAGCCGAAGGATAGAAAATCCTCGGGCCATTGGCACGATTTAGATGAGTTGATTTTTCAGAGTATATCTTGAATTGAGCTCATTGTGATCTTACAAGAAAGATTTATTGTTTTGTATCATGCGATGATTTGATGATGATTAGAGGACATAAAGATTCTCCTTTTTTCATTGCCTGTTAATTCTGTTGTTTGTGACTTTGTTGATCAGTTTTGCATCCAATATTCTCAGTTTATAGTAAAATGCAGATTGTACGATAGTTTTCTTACTTGATACCGAAATACTTATTTTTTGGTGCCAACTAAGAATTCTTCCTTTTTTATGGTACTAATAGAATTCTTTTTGGTATTACATGTGTACCAACTAGGAACAACTTAGTACCAACTAAGTTTTACTTTAGACTAAGAAGTTCCCTCTATCAATGTTCCCTTTTTTGTATGAGGGAGGGCTAGGGTATTGTAACCCTTAAGTGGATAGTTTTTGGTAGTTAATAAACTTCTATAGTACTCTGATGAGTTTCTATTCGGTATATGCTTTTTCCATGGTTTTATCGGTATTTATCCTCACTGATAAAATACGTAATTGATTAGTTACTTGTCAGTATATAAGAATTGATTCCTATGTTTGTCTGTCTTTATTTTGAGAAACAGTATGGGTAGAAATTGAGTTACTATAGTGTGCTCCAAGTAGTGAAATAATGTGTCTAATGTTGATGCCATGATGTGGGTTTTTTTTTTTTTTGGAATTTTTATTTTGGTGAAGTTTGTTGACTTTGATTTTTTGGATTTGGTAAACTAATGTGTCTAATGTTGATGCCATGATGTGGGTTTTTTTTTTTGGAATTTTTGTTTTGGTGAAGTTTGTTGACTTTGATTTTTTGGATTTGGTAAACATACTATTAGTCAAGTGCTAGAACAGTGAGGAAAGACAAGCCACGTGGGCGTCATCATGGTCTCACTCAACAAAAGAGGCAAGAGATTAAGGAAGCTTTTGATCTGTTTGACACTGATGGCTCAGGTTTTGAATCTATCTAGTGTTTTAAGTTTTGTACGTTAATGCATCTAGTTTGCTCTCACCTGATTTGTTCAATTTGAATTTTATAGGGAATATTGATGCTAAGGAGTTGAATGTTGCTATGAGGTATTGTTCTTTGTAAACCCAGAGGTATTAATTTTCTACTTCACAATTACCTGACCTAAAATTGTGTGGTTGCAGGGCTCTGGGTTTTGAGATGACTGAAGAGGTATTAATCTGTCATTTTTGGTTATGCGTTGATTATGATTGTAATATGTCTTCTGAACACTTGCACAAAGATGATCTATGTTCCTTGCACTCTTCAATTTATCTCAATTACCCACGTTGGACACAGAGACACTCGGACAAGGGTATGGACTCCGTACCTGACACATCAATATTTACCTAGGCACCTTAATTATCTTGAACAACATATTCGTAGATAAAAAATAATAAAGGTGAGAGATAGTTAAGAGGAAGTTTTGTGTATATATACTCACAAATGAACTTGAAATGAGAATTCATTCAAGAATTAGCAAACAAGTCAACTAAAAGTACGTTTATGAATTTACAACTGGAAATGAAGATAAAGTATTTTAAAATGAGGAATATGTTTCACCAATGTCATGTTCCATGCCAATGTCGAATTTAA